CAACATAAATCCCTTTTGTACTTTCTAATAAATTTACTTCAATGTCTTACTTCATATAAGATAATCTCTTGGCTACAAGCTTCAACATAAAAGTACCTAAACATTTTTGAAGCATAGGTTAAGAAACAAAATATATGATTACACGATATATTTTACATTATTTTCTTTGAAATGTTTTTTCCTATTCAGCAACCATAACTCAATGAATAGCAATTTTATGTAAGAGAACTACACTGAAATAATTTCTCTATGAAATTCCAAGAGTGATAGGTACTTTTAGCTCGCATGCTAAGTAAAGGAGGCTTTTAAGATTGCACAGTTTGTCTGTCTGTCCATCTCTCCCCTGCTTGTGCTTTTGCAGTATTTGGTCGATTTCCCATGCATTGGAAAGAGGGACAGAAATCACCACTGACTTCTCTTTGCCTCTTATGGGAGTACGGGGGAAAGGCTTTCCTTTCTAATGTTCATGCTTTCTGCCCTCAAAAGCTTCATGGAGGTTACAGTGAAACTATATTAAACAACAACAGCAAAAAACCCCATAGCAGTCAACAAAAAGCAGAAAAACTTGCATTGCCATTGCACATACCTCAGTTTGTGATAAAAAAGATATTCAGGTGGGTGGGGAGGTGTTATAAAACACTGACAGTATTTTAGTAGAAGCCTTTATGGAAATCTACTAAAAAGAAATTCAGGCATTTTTAAATACTGCTTATGCCACTACAAAGATCAAACTATACATTAAAGTTTTTGTAGAAAAGACATGCTTTGTCTGAAGTTACTTATGAATTAATGTAGTTCATACATACGATAGGATTTTAGATTTATGGTTGCAAAGTTTGTCAGAGCTTAGCCCTTCCCCCCAAAAAAATTTCCTGTTGAAGCTTCAGGCCTACTGGCTCAAGGGTGGAAATCACTTTGAAATCACTTTGAAATACTTTTTCTAAGATCCTACTGTGAAAAGAATTAAGCCAGATTTACAGTGCTTGAGCTCTGGATCAGCACAGCCTCAATATTATAATTCTATGCTTCATGATTATAAAGAAAAAATAAAATTAAATAATATAGGTCAGATACAGAGAGTGAGACCCTGCCTCCACTGAAGTCAGTGAGATTCTCTGGCAAAATCTTAATTTAAAACTAAAATTGTCAGGGTCTGTTTTCTATCCCTAAAGCTCTGTGGCAGGGTCTGGCCACATCCCCTCTATTAAACTCCCTGGTGTTTTAAGTTAAGTAGGGTGGCACAACCAAGCCACTTACTAGGAACAGACCTGAGATGACTCTAGTTTATGACTGCACACAGGATTTTTTCTACAGATTTTAATCACTGTAGAACAAAGAATGCTAGAAAGTATGTTAACAAATCAACAGTACAATTCAAGTCCAGTGCCCAAGTCCATGCCATACCACTCCTTAATTTATGTCACTGATGACCCTACCTCTGATTTATATCAATGGTCTTTCAACCAAGTTTTGAGTTTAAATTAAATACATAAAGTTAATCTGGACATACAGAAATTGCCCTGTTTTCACCTTGTTTCTAGTCATGAGTGGCTATCTTGATTTTGTGATGGTGCACAATTTCCTAACTCTATGTTTGTATGCTTCTTTCCTCAGCTGGTTGTTTATGGCTCTGCTGTAGCAAATGCCTCTTTCCTCCCACCCCTTATGCAATTCTGGTACCACTTTGTCTTCCTAGAAAAAAAATGAAGGAAAACTATTCACAAATGAATAATGAGATATTAAGACTTAATATATCACATAAAGCTTATATAAAGCTTAATATATCACAAGTATGTAACAAAGCATACTAAAATCTGTCTTTTGTTTTGATTAGCAATTAAATATTTGACATTCCAGCTGGCCAGTCACCACAAAATAGCTGTCCTCTGCCTCAGCGTGTGATTCCTGAGAGGGTGGCTGTGGAAGGTGTCTACTCACCAGCAGATCTATTTACCGTTTGTAAATCCTACTATTTTGAGGTCTTTAGTGAGCTGAGAAGTGATGCAAATACTCAAGACCTCTGATGGGGAAAAAATATGCATGTTAGATGACAAAAACTCTGAAGGCAATGATAAATAATATGCTTTACTGACAATAACAAAGAGGTAGTAAATGAACATAAACAACCAAACAAATTGGAAGCACAACATTTTCGCATATGAGGTATATGTTACCCCATTAAGAGAATTATGAAGAAATGCAAGATGGTATGGAAGTCCTATGCAAACTATACAACAGCTGAGTAACTAGCAGTCTGTTAGCTTTTACCAGGCTCTGGCATCTTCCCCAGAAGTTTGGCATTTAGTCCCTGCCTTGAGGTTGTTGCAGAATGTGAGGGGAAGGAACAAACAAGTGAGCTAACAAGAATCTCCAGGTTCCTCATTAAAAATATGTTTGGAGAATAATTTCTAAAATGTCACCCTAAAACCCAGAGGGTGAATTTATAAGAAATTTTTCTTTAATATTCCTTGAGAATGATTTGGACATATCAGAAAAAAAACACTGTCTTGCAAAAAATGGTAGAGAACACTGTTCACCAAAAGACTAAAAGAATTCAGAAATTCCATGAAACAAATAAAGAAATTACTTCAAACCGGTATAAGCAACTTTATATAAAAATTTAGAAGGTGGCTAATGAAAATGTGCAATATCCAGTTGGTCTTGGGAAAAAAAAAAAAGAAAAACTTTATTTTGAATTGCAGAACTTTTTGACAGAAATGAAAGATTATTTGTTAAACTAAGCTTAATTTAAGTTTTTATTCACAATATTTGGAGAGCTATGCTATGTATTTAATCACATGTTACTTAAAACATTAAGTCTAGGGGCTTGACTGTAATATCAGTTCAGTACTAGCTGGTACAATTTTCTACTGTTCCATATTAGTGTTGAACTTTGTATATGAGAAAACAGCAGAAAAACAAAACTGAAGGAATTTTATCATTCCTCATCTGACAGCCACTCTGTCATTTATAATAGTTGATGCTAATAACTGAGAATTGATTGTAAGAAAGCTATTCCAATTTTAATGCTATAATTTGTGAGTGTTAAAATCTCAGTAAATACAAAGAGCTGAAAATAAAATGGAAAGCTGAAAATTAAATGAAACATTTTGAATAAAAGCATGTTTGAGAAAGAAATTGATTTTTTTTAAATGTAATATAAAATTTGAGATTATATTTTTTAAAAATACTGTAATTGCTATAGATATTTATTTACAGTTAATATAAATATTTCTCATCTTTGCTAAATATTATTTCAACAGGAGTTAGCAATCCTACTATGCCTCCTTGCAAACGACCTTAGAACTGTAAACAACACTGGAATTGCAAGAAGAGTCCCTACTGCTCAAATGAATTTCTCTATGGATAACTCTTAGCAACAGGTAGGATCTTTATGGTAGGATCAAACACTTATTTTAGGCATTATATTTGTCCCTTAGCTTTAGGTTGACAGATAAGCACCCATTTAAAGTAAGTGCCTGAGGCTCCACTACAGTCTGCCAAGACAGCTAACTACATTAAGACCTGAGAGGGGGAACTTTTCTAACTAAATTTAAGCACTGAAGTTACTAAAAACACTCCTTACCTCAGAGCTTTTAAAGGCACCTACCTCTTTTCCTTAGGGTAAAGTAACTTTAGGCTCTTACTTTAGCAGAACACTTCATTATTCTCCTAAAATTTAGGGAGGACTTTGATTAATTTGCTCCTTATCCATTGTATCTATTTAGGATATTCTTCTTGCTTGATTTTTTACTGTTTTATTGTCTTTACCAAAAAAAAAAAAAAAAAAAAAAAAAAAGCCTGATGCTGCCTCAAAACTGCACTTGAGAACAACTGAGACTTCTAAGACAGAAACCTGCAATATTTGGTATTATTCACAGGGAATATGACCTAAGATTAAGATGTCTTCATTTTATATAATTTTTCAATAGCAGGAAGTATTATCTATGCATATAAGAAGATTATTTCAGAAGGAAAGTTAGGAATATGTCAAAAGTAGAACCATATTATTTCCTTAGCAAGGACAAAACTCACTTTGCCTGTGTATAAGTCAGGGTTAGAGATGTAGGG